CTTTGTCAGTATTATTGATCAGCTGTCCTACCTGGTTAATATAAAACAATCCGCATGTCCCGACGATGCCCCTATGCTGAGATAATGAGCGGTGAAAATGTGGTATTTTTGCCGAAAAACCGACTTGAGATCAGTGTTTACTGCGACTGCCTCTCGCTTTGAGATAACTTCGGGAAACCGCGCGTGTTTCCGTCGATGATTGACAAATGGAATGAATGACGTCTGTTATTGATTGCCATAGTTATGACCCCCACCTGTGCCCACCTCACGCTGGATGTGTAGTAATCTCTGTAGTACTGACGGGAGTCACCGCTACCATGGCGCTACACAGCGGCGACCGGAAGCAATACACTGGCCACAAAGCGAGAGACAGTCGCAGTAAACACTGATCTCGAGTTGGTTTTCAGCGTAGGAGCATCTTGGGGACAAGCGGTTTGTTTTATATTAACAAGGTAGGACAGCTGATCAATAATACCCCAAAGAATCGTCAAAATAAAACGGGCAAAGTTTCTTAATTCGACTAATACTGCAACATGGTTTCACCATTTCACCGTTGTACGCTCTCCTTCTTTATACGCTCTTCATGTTATTCTCTCTTATTCATGTTGTTGTTGCCACACTGCCACTTGGGTGTATTCCTCATGCCATGGAACAGTCACTAGCACTCCTTGTAACCATGTTTTTATTGTTCTAGTATCGTGTCTACTGTCTAGACTCTAGTACATGGATGTACAGCAAATACTTTGCAAATGCTGTTGACTATTTCTATAACATATACATGTGTATATATGTAAACTATGAGTATTGAGACTATGAGCTATATAAACAGTCTCAAAACCAAGCCACCCGCGCGGTTAAAGCTGCTAAACGCAATTTTGAGTATAAAGTGGCAAGCAACATTAAAAGTGACCCCAAGAGTTTCTGGAAATGTGTGAGAGGGAGGACATCTACCAAGGACCAATGGTCCCGTAAACATGCTTCCATGATCTTGCAAGCCACGGACGTCAGGCTAACCGGTCTGTAGTTGCACGGTCGGTCTCTGGGACCTTTCTTAAAGATGGGCGTAATGTTGGCATCTTTCCAATCATCATGTAGCTGTTGTCCAGGCTGTGTTGGAAAATCATATGCAGTGGTTCACATATAGTATCAGCAGCCTCCTTTAGAACTCTAGGTGGGATCTTGTCCCTTCCAGGTGCTTTGTCAGGCTTTAGATTTAAACACTTGGTCTTAACAGCTTCCTGACTGATGATGACATGGTCTAGCACTATATTCTCTCCTTGTGGGGTCTTTGGTATAGGCACAGGGATGTTCGACGTGTTCTCGACAGTAAACACAGATACAAAATAGTCATTTAAATTCATTGCCATGTGTTTGTTATCTGTTATCACAGTACCAGAATCGTCAGTTAGTGGCCCGATAATTGTGCGTCATATCGAACAGCATCAGCTCATGAACACCACACAACATGGATTCCACTCAGGGCGGTCGTGTCTGACTAATCTTCTGGAATTTCTGAAAAATGTCGCCAAGCACGTAGACGAAGAAAATCCTGTTGACATCATATATTTGGACTTCCAAAAGTCCTTCTATAAGGTACCACACAAGAGACTGATTCGGAAACCATGGGCGTTTGGAATAGAAGGAACCGTTGTCAGTTGGATTGAGGAGTGGCTAATGGAACGAAGGCAGAGAGTAGTTGTGAATGGTCAACAATCGGACTGGAGACCAGTGACAAGTGGTGTGCCTCAATGGTCTGTGCTTGGCCCTGTCCTTTTCTTAGTGTACAGTGACGACATTGACGATACAGTGACCAGTAGTCTCCAAGTTTGCGGACGACACCAAGCTATACGGAAGTGTCAGTTCGATGGATCAAGTCCACAAGCTACAAGGCGATCTGAACAAGTTGTTTAAGTGGTCAGAGGACTGGCAGATGCTGTTTAACTTGGACAAGTGCAAATGCATTCACATGTGTCATGGAAACCCAGAGGTCACATATCATATGAACAATGTGCCATTAGCCAATGTGACTGAGGAGAAGGACTTAGGGGTTATAATTAATGCCTTACTAAAACTATCTAGACAGTGTGCAGAAGCAGCAAAAAAGGCAAACAAGGTGCTAGGAGTCATCAGAAGGTGTTTTACCGATAGGTCGAGGCACACCATCGTTCCCTTATATAAGTCCTTGGTCTGTCCACACCTTGAATATGCAATACAAGCTTGGAGACCATATTTGATCAAGGACATAGAGCTCCTTGAAAAAGTTTAGAGACGAGCGACTAAACTAGTGGAAGGGTTGGGTAGCTTGTCATACCAGCAAAGACTACAAAGGCTGAATCTTACTACTCTAGAGACGCGTAGAGAGAGAGCTGATCTTATCGAGACCTACAAGATTATGACAGGCTTGGAGAACATTGATCATAGGACATTTCTTTCACCCTCAGTCCTGTCCACCACCAGAGGTCACAGCATGAAACTGTACAAAGAGCGCAGTCGTCTTGAA